ATATATATATATATATATATATATATATAATACTGGAAAGTTAGAATTTCTAGCTTGCAGAGTTAAAAAAAAATTTCAGTGTGTGAACACAAGTTTTCCAGTAAAGAAAATACTTTATTAATATTTTTTGTTCACATACTTGTCAAACTGAACTGTATGTATATGTGTGTGTGTGCATAAAATACCTTTTTATATAACGTCTTTTATAGCTGATAAAAGTTTGTGACACTGTATTTGTGGAATCCTCTACTGATCTGTCTGCTAGGGGGAAATATTTGTAAAATTCTAACGTTTGACTGGATGATTTTCATATTGATATTTTAGGTTTAATAGATTTATTTTTTATTTTTAAATATAAATATGTATGTAGGATCTATTAATGACACATTATCATTGAAAGGTCTGACATCTTGTTGTAAACCTAGTGTTGATTGGTATATACTCAGACTTCATATTTTTCTGTTTATCTTCTAGTGTCTGGTATACAAATTGTCATCATTGTAATAGCTGTAGTGTTAATGCTGGGACTTATCACCTGTATCATCAGTCACTATAAGATGGGGGCATGGTCATGGCGTGAAGGATGGGGTAGACCTCCCAGCCTTTCAGAACCACAAAGCCTTCTACAAGTAACTCCTCCACAGGACCTGTCACCATCACAACATAATTACACCCCTGCACCACATTCCTCAGTGAGTACCAATTCATCAGCAAAGCAGTATTTGTTGTGTGTTAGTATGTTTTTTGCTCATTGCCTTTTAGATAGTTGCACTGTATCTTACTTAAGTCCATATTTATTGTGGCACAGAAGAGTTTTGGACCATTGAGGAAGTGAAACTATTAAAACATCAATTAATTGTAGGCTGCTTCAAGAAATCCTAAATCAAAAAAACTCGTATTTTTGTCCAGTATTTTAAATTAACAAACTTGTTGAGAAACAAAAAAAAACATCATAATAGGATGATATTCAATTAACATTTCTTTAATAATCATTCTAAAATACCAAAATTACCATCTGCTTTTTTACCAGTTTTCCCAAGTTTTATTGTCTTTTTGAAATCAGAACAAAATTGCAGACTATCCCTTGCAGATTGTTGAGATAATGAAATGATAATTTTTTTAGACCTTCCAACTTAAAAAAATAAAACTTTTCAAAATCAATCTCTTGTATTTCCCAATACTTATTTAAAAAGCCAGTTTGCATACCCCCCTCTCTAGATATATTTATATATAGGTATGTAGACGCACACACGTTTATAAGACAGTAACTATTATATTGGTTTTGAATGAACTTTATTTTCAGAGTAGGCAGTGTTTTACCTGTTTTTACACAATTGACAAATGTCTACAGATGCAAATTGAAAAGATTTGTTCAAGTAACAACTCTTAAAGTCTAATAGTAGTTGTTAATTATTACCCAGTTTTGATGTATTTTGATTCCTAAAGATTAATTGTGGTTATTAATTACTATGCATTTGTGTATAGCCCATCAAAATGATGGGGCATGTACTACCACCCCCACCCCATAGTATACCCCAACTTCACATTTCATAGCTAACTCACATAAAAAAATTTTGTGAAATCAAGCTTGATCAACAAAGAGGCAGAAAAGTGCAGTC